AGAGAGAGAGAGAGAGAGAGTATACAATGTACAAATAATTGTGTGAATACTTGAACAGGTTAGGTGCATTTTCAAGTAATATAAAATGTTTAATAACTTATAGATTGTCGAAACAATTATTTTATTATAAACAGGACTGACTGACAGCCAGACAGATTCTTTTACCTTGATTAAAATTTATAAGTTATATAAGGGCGTACTGTACTTATACTTAATTCTTGATAATTTACCTAAAAGATTTATCTAGACAAGTATTAATATATTTTATATTAAACCGACTAATTTTGCATATACTGTAACTCAATATAGTGATGGATTAAAAATATATCAATAGATTTTGTTAAAATATTACATACATTGTTTATTTCATTTATACAAAAGTTTTGTAACAAAACATATAATTACCATGAATTGTGAATTAATTGTCTATGACATAGACTCTATGTTAATGAATTTTATTTTCACGCATAGATAAGTAGTGATCACTGATCATGAAATGATCATGTACTAATACTCAATTCAAATTTACCATTATTTGTCTCAATGCTTTCAAAAGCCCTTTAATTCAATGTATGAATTGAAGGTTAGTTTTGCATTGAATTTAAGGTTTATATAACTGGGAATTACTTCTTATATTTTGTAATTTCAATGTTATATAAGTATTGAGATTAGATATAACAGGTGTGACCATCAACACGTTTAGCCATAGGATTATCATTACCTTAATGTATTTGTGGTATACCATACAATAAATTGCAAATTTAAAAGTTATATTTATTTGAATACTATATTTTATAACAATTACTAAGAAATTATCAAATTAAAAATGGTTACATTAATTTCAAGGCATTACATAAGTTTCAATTTATAACAAGATTTAATTGTTAAATAAAATTGTGTTTACAAATTAAATGCTGATAGGTCAAGTAAGTCAAGCAAGTTACCAAGCAACAGTTTTATATCTGGTGTTTAGCCATAGCATTTGCATCGGAAACCACCACGGTCACAGTAACCACCTCGAAACTATAATTACCAACAAAGTTAATATAAGTATTTAAGACATGTTAATAAATAATTAATTAAAATAATTACCCTGTTACTTTTGCAGTGGCGATTGCACTCATATCTGTCCGAACCAAAGGGTCCTTTACAGCCAAAGCCACGTTTAGCCCTCCGGAGCTCAACAGTCTCACCGCTGGCCGACTCTGTATAACATAGTAGGGCTAATACAACCAGTAGTACGAGAAATGCAACACTTTTATTGACATTCATTTTTGTAGTTATAATAATTTAAAACACTTTTAATTTGTTATAATAACTATAATATTATTTCTACAAAACCGACGCTTTTATACCCAGACTTCAAAATCCTATTTCAAAGTTTTTATGTAAGACATGTCTGTAAAAAAGTGTAATTTTGTCTACTTTATGTTTTTTGTAGCTTAATGAGAAATTTATTTTATTTGAAACATGTAAAAAATCAGTTTTACAAAAGGATGTTGGTGTTAATATTAGTATTATTACTATTTCTTGTAATAGATGACATTTGTTTCGCATTAATTATGCTAAAAACAAGGATTGCACGGCAATGCAATAAGTTAACCACAATTTTCATACTGAATTGTAGTTAAAAATAAGTCAAAATAACTAGTAATTTACGTAAACATCACAATAATTCGTGTAAAATATGAAATCATAATATTTTATGTGCATATAATTAGCTGCTATTCATTATAAATAATAGATAAATTTGAGTATTTATATTATACTTAACTATTATTTATGCAATTGATTAGTTATAAACATGAGTTTTATAAAAACAAGTTATTTTATCATAAAGATTTGTATATTTTTAATACAATGTTTTTAATATAGCAGAAAATGTATACAAAATATTAAACATTTAATTTTACAAATAACGCAATGAATATTTTAATACTAACGTAAATACTTTATTATAATAAAATAAATTTGAGATTAGATGTTACAATTAATTATAATTTTAATACAAATGCATTACACTATTTCTATACATTATAGTCTAGAATTTAGGAAAAATATATGTTATATATTTATAATTATTTAACAAATTAAATCAATTTTATAACACAATTAAATAATTGAAAATTAACGAAAAATTTTAATCAAACACTATCTTTATTAAGTATTAATAATTGCATTAATCGTCACTTTAATTGTGATTTAAATAATTATATTTTTTCAAATGTAAATGTTTTAAAAGAGAGATTTTTATATAAAAATTATAATTAATTATAAATAAATAGTCAATAAAAATAGAGTAATAAGTTATTTATGAAATTAACGCACTGTTTAAAAATCATTTTAGTTTTTAAAGTTTTATTTATTTAAAAAATATTTAAGTTTTATATAAATGACATTTAATTGCAATAAATATTACATTTTTAGTTTTCATTACGTAATTGGCAAAAAATAAGCATTAAATACAAGTAATATATGAAATGAACGGAAAATTCAAACATTTAATAAATTTAACATTAATTATTTTTAATAATAAAACACTAATTATTTCCACATTTTTACTTTGAATAAATCTTCTCATTGTTTCCATAGATTTCAATTGTCTTGAGTTTAGGACTCG